TAGAAGCTTTCATGCAACACACAAACTAGTATCTTCCCAAATTCATCCTTTCCTTGTAGAACTAACAAAAACTATCTGTGGATTAAAAGAAATGCTTCTCAAGATTAATCCTATTTGCTTAAATCTGTTTTTATAAAAAAAACTTTGATTGAGGGGAACACAAGAAATGGAAGCTGTATTTCTTTATGCCAGGTTTGTGTTCATCTCAGCCAGACATTTCAGTGCAACCTTGATCTAAGATGAATTGTCACCTTGGTGCAAAGCCATAGGATGTCGGCTCCAACCAGATTATAGTATCTCCAACTCATTCTGAATTGAATCTCTTTGAGAATCATGTGATGATTCTTGGTTTAAATTCCTGATACCATATCTCTAAAAAAGTGAGGATTGAAACATACCACCAAAAAATAGGCCATCCCTTGGAGAAAAGTGAAATGAACTCATGAGATATGCATGTGACATAAATATGCATGAGCAATTTCTGTAGAATATAACCTCTACAAAAGACTGTGGTTTTTTAGCTTTTAGGAAACATTTCTGTCTGAATTAGCAACTGTCAAAGTGGCATGGCTGAAAAGATTTTCTGCTGTAGAGAGATGAAACTTCAGCTCTTCAAACATAGCTTATCTAGGGAAGCAAGCTGAGACATAGTTGTCTTAGAGCTCTCCAAATCCAGCGAGGTACCTGCAGAGCTTCTTACAAATTCTTTTGATACTGTCTTGTCCTAGAGAGTGCCAGACTCTCTCTAGCGCGTCAGAAGTGTGAGAATTTTCCATATCTTGGAGAGTAAAGAATCCAGGAGATAAATGGAGATAAACTAAATGGAGAAAAAAATACGGTGCTCTCTTCCAGAAAATGAATAGATGTATGTTTAATGCAATGGCATTACTTCTTTCTTCTACTTTCAGAATCTAATTTTGTCCAGCACTATGTAAGTTTTTCAGACTTTTTTACAGCTCCTGTAGAGTCTTTCCCTTATGCAGAGCAGCTTCCTCTTGGCACCCTTCCTGTGTGCATAGACACTGTGCCCCTTTTCCAGTGCAGTGATAAACATGAGCGTTTGGTGCCCATTTCTGGCAATCTGCAGCCTTCTATCACTGGTAAGTCAGAGTTAAGCCAGTGGAGGTTTGGAAGAGACTTCCAAATTCCCGTTTTAAGGTGAAGCTGGAAGTTGCAGATTGAATGATATCCTGTATCTTTAGCTTTGCTGCTCCATCGTGAAGAAAGAAGCATGGTCTTCAGTTAGAAATTTTCCAGGTTCAGATTTGGACTGAGCTGATCTTTGATCTTAAAAATTTAAGCTGATGCTGAAAAAATGGGGAAATGAGAATGAGGGAAAGGCAGGCTTTTTTTTTATCATGACTACTGCTTTCAGCTTTCATCTTCTAAACTTTAATATATTTAATCAAAGCTAGAAGAGTTCTGGAGAAGTCAAGTTATGTAGAAGCATTGGGCACAATTTATCAGTTGCAGACAAAAACTAAAGTAGAAGTGCAGCATCTAGAATATGCATTTCCCACTGCACTGTGGTCTGTAGAAGTATTTTACTGAAATGGCCTGCTGCCCGCAAGACACTGAGTGCGCTAGCTCACTGTCTTTTTTGGGTGTTAGTATTCTGAAATGAGAATAGGCAACTAAACAAAGCTGACAGTTTATCAAAGGCATCTCTTTTTATTTGTTTTATGCCTCAGAGAAAGCATTATTGTTCCTGGATAACCTGAGATTCTTGTGGCACCCAGTGATTGACAGGGGACTGAATCATGGCTCTTTCTTTTTTAAGTTTGAGATCTTTCATTGTGTGAAACTTCTGACAGTCCAGGAAATGCTGTATTGGACGATGTGCCTGAACAGCAACCAAGGCTTATTTCCTAAGCTATGAGGCTGCAGTGGGTGCGTACGGAGGGAGGCATCGATGTCTTCTAACTGAACAGTTCAGCCAGCAGTATCAGCTTCTGTACATTGCTTCTCCAGTACTGTAAGGTAATGAATTGTGTACATATGGACCCAACTTCTGATTGCGGTGGTATTTTTCTGTGCTTAGCATGTTTTGGCTCCTGCTTACAAAGAAATACTTCAGTTATTCTGGGATGTTATTGTGGAAGAGCTGGCTGACTTGGTACAATCATTCACACATTGTGAATGTACAGTCATTGAAGAGACTGGGGAGTGCTGCTGTTCAGTAGAAGCAGGCTTTTGTTAAACACTTGTTTTTCTTCTCATGCTTGTTTTCTTGAATCTTTCCAGTAGTGTTGACCCCTGATGGTATTCATGTTTGCCTTCTGAATTACCAGGCTTGCTGTTGGTGAGCAGGACATAGATTGTAATATGATGAGACTCCACTCAGCAGGCATGGCCCCAGCCTCATCAGTTATCTGTTCCTCTCCCATCCCTCTTTCTTACAGTTTGAGTGTTATCTATCTTTAACTGCAACTGGCTGACTCTGGGGTTTCTTTTTCACAAGATCACATGCACTCCAATCAGGTAGTATCAAAAACTTTTCTGCTTCAGGGCTTTTATGAAAGTGGACTCGTGTCATGAACTTGGCTTTATGAATTGAAAATGTGTTATTCTTGGGTGCTTTTATGACAAAAGTAATAAAATTAGCACTATAGCTGATCCAGTCAGTGCTTGCAGTTGGAGCAAAATAGGAATGGTCACAGAAGCTTTATTATTCTTCTAAATCTGTTGATTTGGCATCTTTCTGGAGCATTAATTTCACTTTTTGCCTGACAAATAATTTGGCTCAAAAGCATTTGATTCTGTTAGGGTAGTTTGTTAGATTTCAGAAGTGTGTATGCTAGTATTTGTATTTCTCTTTCTGTACATCTTCCTTCTTGAATGCACTTGGTTCCTCCTCTGGGAACAAGTAACTTCATGGGCTTCATGGAGTCATGGTGCTGCAACGGATGTTACACCTCAGGCTCTGAAAATCCAACTGAAAAATACTCAATTTTCACATGTTACAGATGAACTTCCCATTTAAGTCCGGTGTTTTTTTTTTTTTTCCCTGCCAGGATGGTAGTTCTTCCTTACTGCTACTGAGAAATAATTTCATTGCTGTTAGAGAATGATTCATTAACATGTGGTTTGCATTTTCAGGAAGCCAGTCTTGTAGAGACCACATTCCTGATGCTTGTTTGTTTTACAAACACGAAATGCAGATGTCTTCCTTGTGCAAGCAAGTCAGAGGTGTCTGTCTGGGTCTGCCAGGCTGGGGGCTTCAGATAACAACCCATCCAAGGCTGGCAGTGGCACTTCATCCGTACAGACTGCAGCACTGTATGAGTTGTCAGCAGCAGCCCTATGTGCCACGCTGCATCTAATCACAGGCTTCTGCACTGGGAGGGAGGGCAGCGCCGCCTTTGTTTTGTGAGGGTCACATCGCTGGTAAAGTCGAGGAAGGTGACGTACCACATGTCACGCCGTGTGAGCTAATGCTCATAGAAACGAGATTATTTGAACATTGAATATTACTCTCTTATTACTGGGATTTCTTAGTGGCCAGCAAAGTGGGCAAATCAGAAAATAGAGGTGGATAAGAGCTGTTTAAAAGTCCCAGCTGCATTGTGTATTGGTACTACAGGGGTTTAGCTCGCTGAACCAACCATCCAGCTCTGACAAATGCCAGTGCAGGACCAGGGCAGTATCATGTGGCAGGAATAGGTCAGTTACGTTGTGTTGTGAAACTGCACCTCTTCAGTGAGGTAGATTTAGAAGAGTAATGAATATGCTGCCCCTAGGTGTGCAGAGCCTGTCTGTTTTGTAGAAGGAGCAACCATTGCTTGTTTTTCTTTCCAGGGTTGTGCTGGGGTTGCTGTGTATCTGTATGACCAGTACATCAAATCCTGTGATTCACCTGTAGCTTTTGGCTTTTCAGCTGATGATTGGGACTGACAGCTTCTCTAGGAAAAAAAGGAGCTCTTTCTGCAACCGGGATGGAAAGAGTTGTCTTTTCTATATGTATAGTAGAGAGAGACAAGTGCTGTGGTGATAGCTTGTCTTGGAATGGGGGCAATAGAGCCCTTTAATGTCAGAGGCTGTTTCAACGCATTGGGCTTGTCCAGGTGCTTCCCAGCCCAGAGAGGGGCAAGGAGGCAGCAGTCATGAGCTTTCTGAATTCCCCTGGGGAGAGCTGTCTTGTTTGCAGGAGACCTGCTTTGTTTGAACTCCGTGGGCCTGATAAGTGCATGAAGGGGTCAAGAGGCAGGTTGAAGGTCCAGCAGATGCCTGTGGTCTTGGTGGGTACAAGCCTTTTTGTGCTATCAGACCAGTCTGTTTTCTTCTGAAATAAACTAATACATAGAAGCAAAGGAGAACTTGTTTGCTTCTACCTTTGTAACATGACTTTAAATGTCATGTTGCAGTATTCTAGAGAGTGCCCGGGCTAGCACAGACTGTGCTAGTGCTTGCCAGGAGTCCACATAATGCAAACAGCTCTGCATGGAAATAGTCCCTGTCACAGTAGCTTTTCATCTTCCTATTCTAGTCCAGTGTATAACTTTCTTGTCTACAGTGAAGGCTTGTGAAAATGTTTTGTTTTTCCCCCTACCCTTTGCTGTCAGGGCACGTCTGCATTTGCAGCTTGTTACTGCTGCTCTGGCTCAGTAAGTGGTATCTGTCTATCCTGTGGTTCCTACTGCACACACTTAGTGAGGACCCTAATCCCAGTCTGGTCTGGGCCTCTCAAGTGGTGCCTGTAGTCAGGACTGGATGTGGGGCTTCCATGAGCAGTTAAGCCAATCCAGTGAATTCTTGATTCCTTCCCCTCTGTGCTGTTGTGACTAAGTATGTGAGTTTGAGTGCATCCATGTTTCATTCCAACCTGTGTGTTGCAGGTGCATTGGCTGTGAAAATTATGTCTAGTAGTTTAATGGGAATTGAGTATGACTGGGCTATTGTACTGCGTTTGTACAGTCTTGTAAGAAGATCATCGTCCTAAGGCAGATGTGTAGCCTCAAAATATGCCTAATTTGACTTCTTTTCTTTTATTTTCCACCTAGGTATCACATGCCGTTGCAAAGCTAGTATTAGTTAGTTTCCACTGGCAAATCTCAGAGATTTTGGAAAGGTAAGTGTAAATAGTCTTATCTCTTCTGTGCTCAGTGCTTTTCCCCCTTGCTTTGCAAGGTTGCTCAGAGTGGTCCATAGGTGTCTTTTTGACAGGCATCTTTGAACATGAAAGCAGGCCACACACTCCATTCCAGGGAGCAGAGGAGAAACACTGTTTTGTTGAGACTGCATTGCCTGTAAGGAATTTGTAAACAGGGAGAGGATAATGGTGGCAAATGCCTTTCAATCTGAGGAATTATTGTCATGCTGGGATCCCTGTAGATGCATTTAGCTTAAACTTTGAGATAACAGATTGAGAGTGCTGCATCTATATTTATTTAACAAATATAGAGATAACATATGTTGTGTTTTGAATATATGAGCCATAAATCATAAAGGAGCACTGAACCTATGCTGATGTTTTCTTTAGTATTACATGCACGTTGAAGTTTTTGTTCCTTCTGAACATAAGTGACTATTTTCCAAGCTGACTAGCATTTGGAGAGCAGGATAAGATGGTGTGAGAGAAATAAGAAATGCAGCCCCTTTGTTACTTGGTCAATGTCACTGTAACAAAGTCTTCCAGCTGATTTCAAAAAGGAGGGTTCAGACTCTGCCCAAACATATACGGGAAGTGTGTCAGGAGGCACTGCTGTCTGGCAGCCACTCCAGAAAATACTGGCTCAGAACTGAACATTGTCTGAAAATAGAGAGCACATCAGTCTGACTCATTCTGCCATGCCATTTTTGGCCCTGTAGCCAGCAGCTTCATCCAGAGAACATATGGGAAATGCATCTCATGTATGGATATTGTTGCAGCATCTTTGGTAACTGAGTTGGTGGTTACCATGCATCCTGTGAAAGTTTTTCTCTGGGGAGTGTGGAGGATGAGATTCCTGCATAGATTCTGCAGGTTAACTATTGAGATTTAAACAAGAGAAAGTTTGGGGAAGGGTTTACATCTAAAGCTATGACTTTGCAAGTTGTTCTTCCGTTGATCTGGTCCTCAGACTTCTGTCTTCGTACGAAGTGACATAATCAAAGGAAAGCTTCCTAGTACAAATAAAAAGTGCTAGTGAGAAAGGAGGATTTACAGCATGGTCACAACAGTGATGCTGCTATTTCTGAATTCATTGAGATATAAACATTCCTCTGTAATGGAAATCACAAACAGCAAAACATTTTTAATTCTAAGACTGCTGAGAGAAAGCTTCACATGCCTAAGGGGTCATAATCTGTTACAGAGTAAATACTTAACTAGATAATAGACTGGACTCAAAGTGAGACCTAACCAGGACAGCTTGATTTTACAAAGGAGTGGGAGACAGACATGAGCTTCACTGGAGTGTGTTATTGTGGGCAGTGGCTTAGGACTCCTCTAGGAGTGTGGACAGAAAATCTTAGCTTCAAAAATAATTTTTCAGGGGGAGGGAGAGAGTTGTAGAAGAATATTATTCAAGGAGTGTGAGGGAAATGTTAATCCGTTACTGCGAGAAGTATTGTTCCTATTTCTGATTTTGAAGAAACTCGCATAAAGTTTTGTTAATGAGAGTTCAGCTCACTATGTGAAGGAGTCTCACACAGGACACATGTCCACTTTCCTTGTTGAAACCTACCCTACCATTTGCACAGAGCCTATTGCTTATTCAGATGAGAAGGATCAATTTAACAAAGCAAAATGTATTAAAAGATTTATTTGATCATTCTTCAATTGCCTTTTCAGGCACAAGTCTAATGCTGCCCAATTGCTAGTAGAAGCACGAGTTCAGCCCACCTCATCCAAACATGTAAGTATGTTAACTATTTTGGCCTGTTCCCTTGGCAGACACCTCTGACCCACCTCACCGGAGGATTGCATTACTAATGGCATAGTCTGTCCCATATTAACCCTTTGCAAACTCAGGTCCAACACCCTAACTCAATGCTGGATTTACTCATTAAATGAGAATGCATTCAAGGGGTGTCTAACATTTAAATAGCAGCTTTGCTATTGTCTTGCAGGTAGTGTTCAGGAATTACTTGCCTCAAGAAAACTAAGCTCATTTTTTTGGCATGAGTGATGGTACACAATGGAAGGAGCAGAGTGCATGGGCTTGGCCACCTCTTCCAATTCTGCTCTCTCTGTAAAAGACACTCAAGGGAAGCTCTGGCTGCACGGAATGAACAGAGCTTGTCTGTGGCTGGAACAGAGATTTTTGGTTTTAATTTTTTTTACCTCAGATGATTGGTTGCTGCACTGCTCTGCTCAGGGATGCTTAAGCCAAATCTCCCAGTGGTGTTGCTGCTGAGCCAGTCAGTAGTGATATTTGAACCAACAGTTTGTGTTTTGCAACCAGGGCTACACAGGTCTTTAGATACCACCCACCCCCCAAATAGAAACTTCCTGTTGCATGTTTACAGGTTTCATTCACAGGGGGTGTCTTGGTACAATCCACAGATACCCCAGGAACACATTGCCATGTGTCAATTTTTGAGTGATAAAATATTACATCTGAGAAACGCTCTTTGGATTGGGGGGCAGGGGAGATTTTAAAAGCCTAATTTGGCATCTGAGCTGACTTGTAACTAGCAGAGAGTGAAAAAGCTAAACCAGCTGACCGGAGTAAGCTTCATGGACTCAAAATAAATTATCTGCCTAGAGTCCAAGAAAAAAATCTTTCTTATTTGACATACCTGCAAATTAGTCCATGTATTTTGAGATTTGTCTGAATTTTGTGTCAGCTGTCACTTAAGTACTCTCCACTGCAATGGTGATTTCATTTTGGGAAGAAAGATATTACTATTAAAACGTTAGTTTAATTCTTGACAAACTTGGTTTGGTAGGCAATTCATTACAGTCTTTTTGTATGTGCTAGGGCAAGTTGCTCTGTGCTTCGGCTCCTAATGCAGAATTATGATATTTTGGGGGCAGATGGTCATCCTGAGAGTCTGCAGAGCAATGGACCCTATAGAGAGAAGCTACAGTGCTGAGCTCAGAGGGACAGCTTGCAAAGGTTTGACATAGTGCACTTGCTGTTCAAATTGAGCAGTTGATGTACGCAATGAACACAGTTGCAGACTTGGTGAATCTTGTTCTGGTCCATAAGTGAGGCTGCTTAGAACAAAGTTGCATTATTTCCTTTTTCATGTGGTCGTGCTATAAAACAAGCTCTGCTTGTCATGTGGCTGCATATGATGCTGCTGCTCCTCTGTGTCTCTGGAATCCAGAGTTAGGCATGGAAGCTGACAGCTGCCTCACACAAGCTTCTCAAAGAGTAGCAAAGGTTTAAGTAGATGAAAACTGATTATATGACTTCGCTGTGAAAGGAGAAATAGGAACATAAAATCCTGCTAACAGCTTTGTAGAGCTTTGCTTTTGATGATGCTGTGCTAGACCTAGTTCTTCAGGTCCCAAGGGTGAGCTGAGATATGTTGGAGGCTAAATCTGTTGTCTAGGGATTAGTTCTGCACTACCCAAGGGGAGATCCAGACTGCTTCCCGGTGGTTTGGTGAAGCAGTAGCAGAATTATGCCTGACTTGAAACAAACCATCTACTCCTTTTCATCTGAAGGAATGTTGCCTGCTTTGCCAAATGTAGCATAGGCAGAAGATAAGAGATGTGAGAAGACGGTCTGTGAACTCCCTTTCCTCTCTGTATAAATGCTGTACACACTGCACCTTCAGTTGTCTCTCCGCTTACCCAAAATCGTTGTCCAGTAAAAGGGCACTGCTAAGCCTGCTTCCAGCTATAACTGCTCTCCAGGGCCTGTGGAACACTGATAGAGTCTGACCCAGCTAACAAAGAGTATCAGTAAATTCAGGGAAGGACTAACACAATGATGTATTTCCTCATTTTTCAAACAAGGCGAGAGTAAGAAACAGAAAAGTAAAGGTGAGTCCTGGGTAGCACTAGATTAGAGGCAGGAGCTGTTCAGTGACTGTCAATCTGTTGTGCTCCATGAGGTTAAAGAGATTCATGAGAGGGACTGACTGTCGGGGCAAGGCAGCACCCCAACACACCAGCTGTTCTGCTTGGAGCTCACCTGAGACCATTGTCACAATGAAGGTGATACAGGTGCCTGTGGATGAGGTGAGAATACTCTGGAAGAGCTGGGATGCTTTCACCGTAATGCTGATCTGTCTCTCTCCCAGGCAATGGTACATTCCTCCCATCACTGCGCAGTATGCATGCAGTTTGTCCGGAAGGAGAACTTGCTCTCTCTGGCTTGTCAGCACCAGTTCTGTCGCAGCTGTTGGGAGCAGCATTGTACAGTGCTCGTCAAGGATGGTGTTGGAGTCGGTGAGTTCAAGGTGGATATGGTACTGGGTCTGTGTTTGCCATGTTGGCCGTTCTGATGATGACTGGCTGAATTGGTCTAAAACATCTAAGTAATGAGAAAATGGAGCATGGAATGAGTACCTGTGACAAACTTAACTTGAACTATTGGTCTTACCTGAACCCCTGGTTAGTGTTGGCATACCACCAGAAGAGTGCTACTCCTTGCCTAACAAAACGTGCAAGTGCATAGATCCATTTGCTGCTTTTCTCCCCTTGTGATTTCAAGAGCATGACTGTAACAAGTTAGAAGCTGCAAATCTGCTGCATTTTGAGTTTGCATCTCTCATCATGTATTGTTGCACTGACTCTGGAGTTCTTGTGGATGCAAACATCTCTTCCCTTTGTGTTGAGTAAAAGCCAGTAGTTGCCAGAGTTGCTTTGGGCTTTTCCTAGCCTGTCCTTCATGCTGGCATGGCAGTAACATGCAATTTTTTACTTTAAGTATCTGCCCTTGTGAATACTGGTTGAAGCACTTAGTGGTCCTGGATGCACATGTGCCCTGTCATCTTTCAGTGAAAACAGTTGGGCTTCAGCTTTTTTCAGCAGCCCTGATAGATTTGTTTCACGGTTGTGTCCCTCTTGCCACAACAGATGGCACCTAGGAAACTGTGTTGAATACTTTCTGTGCATTCACTCCTTAGCATAAGTTGCACTGTGCTAAAATGTTGCTTTTTCTTCTCAGGGGTCTCCTGCATGGCTCAGGACTGCCTACTTCGGACACCAGAAGACTTTGTGTTTCCATTGCTGCCTAGTGAAGAGCTGAAAGACAAATACAGGCGCTACCTCTTCAGGGACTATGTGGAGGTATTGTGTCTTTCAGTTTTAAAATACTCTGGGTTAATTCACCAATGACTTGCAGAAATTTTGTTTTAAGTGTCATGCATCTTTGATTAGAAATGCAGTAACTGCAGCAAAACTGTCCCTGGTAAACGTGATGTGGCTGTTCCTGTAGGACAGCCTCACTGACAAAATGCTCTAGCAAGTTGCCAAAATAAATTCTGCTGTAAGGTCACCCAGTAACTCCTTGGCTGGTGCTTGGTGCTTTTCCTGAAGCAGAATTCTCAGAATGTCGCAGCTGAGAACTTCAGTCTGAGTTTTAAAGTCCTTCTTGCTCTTGTCTTGATGTTTTAGGTTCTGAAAAAAAAGTCTCCCATCTTAGTGTAGCCCATCTGAATTAGCTTGTTCAATAACATTTTATGTGAGGTTTTTTGAAATTAAAGCAGCAATTGTTAAGGTTATGTGTACAGGAGTATTCTGGTAACTGAGAACGGACTGGGAACACTCAAGAAGCAGTGAAGTGGTATGAAAGAATGGTGTCACCTCTCTTCAGTAAGAGACCCTTTGAGGGGGGAACAGTTACCATAGGAGAGCAGCTGAATACATTCTGGGGCATAAAGAGAGGATGGGGAAAGAACTGAAATGGAGTAAAACTGTTTGTTCAGTGTCTTGGTGATGTCTTATGTTGTGTTACTGTGCTTACTTGGTCTGTAACCTTCATTCAAATTCCCTGTTCTGGAGAAGCTGTAATTAACTAATACTCCCTTTCCTAATGTGGAAGAAGTTTGTCTGCTCTGTTAGCCAAGACCTGGTGACAGTTTTCACTCTTTTTCAACAAGAAATAACTAACTTGTATGTTTTTGAGGATAGGGTGGTTAAACTTGAATAGATAATGCTCTTCTGCACCCATTGCTGATCTTACCACCTTGGTATGTTCACAGAGCCATTATCAGCTGCAGCTGTGTCCTGGTGCAGATTGCCCTATGGTCATACAGGTACAAGAGCCAAAAGCCCGACGAGTGCAGTGCAATCGTTGCAATGAGGTCTTCTGGTAAGAAACAGAGAGGGTTAAAGATTGCAGGGAAAGTGTATGCTGTCCTCAGAGCTACTCTTTTTGCTTGCCAACAGGTTCAGTGTGTAGAAACATCTCAAATGCTTTGCTAGAGTTGTTTGTAACTTGAGTTAGCTGGAGTAATTGAACACTTGGGGTCTGACTTCTGCAGGTGGTCAGCTGTCCCCTCGCTCCCTAAAGTCCTTGGGAGTTGGGTGTTTTGACAATCAGGGAATGCCGGGCTTGAGTAATGAAGGGGTTACATATCTGCTGTTCTTATATTTTGGTGCATAGTGACTGGTAAAGATTTTGGTAATGGATGTGGAGGCCTCACCACTACCTGCTGGTATTGAGTTTTTAAGTTTATTACAAGTATTTGACTCCCAGAGTGTCTGGTGTGTTTTGAGGCTCATGCGAGAATACATTTCTGCTGAATAGGAATAGTAATGTTCCTTGTCTGACCTCATATGTATGTGGGGGACCACAGCAAAAAAGGTAGCTTGCAGGGCTGCTGAATTGTTGTCTTCTCCTGGATCTCCAGAATCACTGCTGTTGAGAATGTCTGTGGAGCGTAGTACAACTGGTTTAGAGACCCAGCTTGCTGATACCTCCCTGCAAATGGCCCTTACTCACCTGTGGCTGGTAAGGTCATGCTAATGCAGGTGCCTGGTATCTACCACTGGAGTCAGCCTACTTGTAAAGCCACTGGTATGCCCCAGGCCTCTGCAGTCATGTTAGAGCAGACATAGGTAGACTCTAGGGAGGGATGTGTCAGCCCTCAGACACATGATTTGTTTGGAGAAGGCCTCAGTTCACTCTCATCCTGACTCCAGCTTATGCACAAGAGGGTGGGGGTTTATTGGAGTTCAGCCTTGGTCTTTGCACTCTAGCAATACACAAGTGCATTTGAATCTCTTACCCTCACTTGGCCTCCCAGATTTTGGTCATCAGGAAAACCTCAATTCTTGAGTCACTTCCTTGGAAATCAATGTCTTTTTTTTTTTTTTTCCCCCTCCCCATTAAGCTTTAAGTGTCGGCAGATGTACCATGCACCTACAGACTGTGCTACCATTCGGAAATGGCTCACCAAATGTGCAGATGACTCCGAAACAGCCAACTACATCAGTGCTCACACTAAAGATGTAAGGACAAGCACCTGCATGTTTTTTCTTGTCCTCTAGTCCTGTCTGGGAAGCAAGCTACAATTCTATATACAAGTAGCATTGTGTGCTGCTTTTTCGCAGACTGCAATTTCTCACAGCTCCCTCAGGACTGTGACAGACACAGCTGAATGCCTTGGGAATGCTTTGTGCAGGAAGTCCAGCTGCCCTCCTGCAGTAAGGACCTGGTGGTCCTTATTCCAGACCTGGTGTGAATGTCTTTGACACCCAAGTGTGTTGCCCTCTGTGGCTACTTTGAAACGACCAGTGGAGATGTATTTAAAATGGAAGGAAAGTGTGTACTAAGTGCGGAGTCAGTATCAAATAAGGCATTAGTGGTGTTTAAACCTGAATAACTCTCTGGAGTACTGTGAACTGGAAGGTGAGGGAGATAAAGTCTTGATCTGGCAAGGACAGCAAAATGGGGTAGATAAAGTCTGTAAATTAGAATTGAGGTACTTCTAGTAGATTTAGACCCAAGAAAAAGAAATAATATTACATGTTGTGCACTCTAGTCTGCCTATAGAATTGTCTTTAAAAGTTATAGATACACTACCCTTATCCTCTAGATTAGCTGTCTGCAGATTGGAACTTTTAATGTCTTTTGGGGATTTTGTGGCCTGACTTCAAAACAGTTCCTAGCTGGCATTTGTTCTACCGTAGCCAACAAAAACTGTGACAGTGCTAATTAGCAGTAAGCTTCAGCTGTGTTAGGAAAGTGGGTACTTAGAGATCTTAAATTTCCTTCTTTCTCTGGAAAAGGTGTCAACATGTGATGGCATTGTTTCTGCTATGCTCTTTTGTAGAAATAAGGTTCTGTTATACTGAGCATGGTCCTGGCATATATTTTGCCTGCCATTAAACTTTATAAAAAGCAGCAAAACTCACTTCCATCTTTGTACCTATGCAATCAAAAAAATGTAACTGAATTTCACACTCCAGGGCATCAGAGGACTGCTGATGGAGTGAAGAAATGTGCAGCTCTCACTGTGGTCAGACAGATTCTCTGCAGCTAGCTAAGTTGTCATCTGTTAATGGCTGCTGAAAGCAGGATATAGAGCTGATTATCTTGTAGTCTAAGTGGCTGTGGAAGCTACTGTCATACATGAACTAATTACGTCCCTATGCTTGAGCAATTGCTTAAATGGTAACTCAGTGAGACCTTCAGTTTTGCAAGGAGTAACAACAGCAAGTTTGTTTTCTTGAGCAAGCAGTCCAGTGCTGCAGCGTAACTTCCCTAGCTTTGTCTTTCTGCCTCCTTTTTAAATGGAGCTGTCAGGAACTGGTGGGAGGCAGGGTGTATGTCTGTTAATATTCTCACATATGTGTATGCATATTTAAAAAAAAAAAAAAGACAGGAGGGGAATCACAGGATTTTAGAATGTTTCCAGGGATGGGGTATAATCATGCAAGTGTTGTCACTCTCCAGAAGGCTGCTAGAGACAGAGTTGGATCTAACAAATGCTTCTGTTTCCCCAGTGTCCCAAGTGCAATATCTGTATTGAAAAGAATGGTGGCTGCAATCACATGGTGAGCAATTCCCTAAACACATCAGACCTTCCTTGTGCTACGCAGAAAATTTTTTGCCCACTTTCCACTAACCAGTGCCTCCTATCTCTTCTTTTTCAGCAATGCTCCAAATGCAAGCATGGTAAGTAGGATTTGGAAACAGTTTTCTCTGCAGTGTTTGTTAGTGGTGATGTTCTTTTTTATTTTGGGGGGCGATATGAAGACAAATTGTGAACATTGACTGAAATATTTTTTTCCCCTAGTAAAAGATGAACAGGATATTAATTACAGATTTGTGTCTGATAGCTGTTATTTTTTTTTACTGGCTGTGATCTTGGCTGGGTTCTGATTCAGTGCTGGTTTGGCTCCCTCTCCCTGACATGTCCATTGTATAGAGAAGTCTCTATCTCTGCTGTAATATTAACAGTGGAGTCCATCTCAGAGGAGAGTATTAAATGCTTTCCATGTAATTGTATTTGTCGTCAGCTGAAAATACTGATGAGGACTGAGCCATTTACTCAGATCAGCTTAAGTCCTTCTGCTTAGTGATGGAAATAATGAGCTTCAACCCAGATGAAACTGCAAGGAGCTGTGAATTGTTCTGCGTAACAGTATCTGTTGGACTTCTCAGTCCACCCCTGTGCAATTAGCAGCCTTAGTGTCTTTGGCCCTTTGTGTGGTCCTACAAAATGACAGCCTGTTCTTGCACTTACCTTTTCATGGCAGAATTAATATCTGTTGCCTTGGAGTGAGATAGTTTGTATTCAGCCCTCTAAGTTAAGTGTGCCACTAGGAAATATTATAATATCAGAACCTTATTTGGAGGATGATTAAAGATTAGTGTCTTCTCACATTTCCTTTGCTTTGGGGTCCTCAGCAGCACTGGATATACTTTGATGGAGCTTTGTGACAAGGGTGAGCAGGCAAGTGCCAAGGTGCCATGGTGAATAGCACTTAAGAAGAGTGGTGAACTCTGGAAATACAAATTTCAGTCTCTTATTATGAGTAATACTGAAGTGACTCCTATTGTAGCAACTTAATCTCCATCTTTTTTCCTTCCCAGCAGAACACTCACAGCCTCGCTCTGAAATCAGGGAACTGTCACATGGATTTTGCTATTGCTTTCTTTCCTCCACTTTCTTCCCAATTCAGTGGCTCCTAACTTGAAGTGTCATAAACCACTGATATCTGAAGTTACCTGGGTAGTTCCCTCCTCGAGAGAACTGAGGGTAGACTTTCTTTTTCATGAGTTAGTTCACTTTTGGATTTGATTGTTCATATTTTATTCAGCCAGAGGACCTCATGGGGCAGTATGCCAGTGGTGGGGAGGATGCAACTCGCAAATAAGACTGCAGCCTGCCTCTGCTTTAATCTAGAGTGACAGCCTGTGCAGAGTGCAAGCACAGTTCTGTGCATTGGTCTTGGTGTACAGAATGCAGCACTTCAGAGTTTACTTTCCATAATTGCACTGAAGGCGGTACAATGAAAATCTTCAAGACAGGCTGGTATTTTTGGCTCGCTATTGTGTTCCATTATGCAAGGTGATACAAAATGTATATGTTTCTTGGCTTAGCAGAAATATCTGAAAACAGATGGGCTGTATCTACTGAAGCTTTTCTTTCTTGTGGTTTTCTTCTGTGCATCACAGTGGGTTTTTCACTGTTTTCTGCAGACTTCTGCTGGATGTGTCTGGGAGACTGGAAGACTCACGGCAGCGAGTACTACGAATGCAGTCGGTACAAAGAGAATCCTGATATTGTAAACCAGAGTCAGCAAGCACAGGCCAGGGAGGCCCTTAAGAAGTACTTGTTCTATTTTGAGAGGGTAGGAGACATCTCCTTGGCCAGAGCTGCTGTAGCCTTTTAATGCTCCCTGCCTGGTGCAAAGGTCATTGCCAGCAACCTCCGTGCAAGAAACTGCCCAAAGAGAATCTGTGCAGAATTTTCAGGCCCTGTTGTTTTTCACTCAAAATCCTGCCCTGTGAGTCCCATACAAACCAGCAATGTCGTACCCAAAACAAATCATATTCGCTCCTATAATTCCTTGTCATAGAGAATATTAGTATCACCTATGTGCCACTGTACCGTTTTCCTGCAGGCTGAATGCTGCTGCAGTAGATAGATATTGCTCCAGTCATTTCCTCCCAGGATTGTGGAACTTCACTTCCTTGCTGTATGTCTTTATAGAGACAAAGACTAAATAAACTATGATATGTTCAAAGCTCCATTGGCTGTAGCAAAGTTTTCCTAAAATTTCATGTAATCACACTTTTAAAAGTTGCAGTCAGAGCATCTCTGTTCACACAGCAGGCTCGATGCACCTGGCCATACAGTGCAATTCTAAAGCAGCATCTCTAGAAGAGAACGTGGTAGAGGTTCCATGCTGCTGCATTTCAGTTTCCCCATTAAAATGAGTTTATTCTTCACCCCATGAGCCAAGTCCTGTGATAAATGTGTTCATTCGTGGCTCTCCAGACCAACAGGCTTTGAGAAATGGCCGTGTTTACAAATGTGCATGTGGATGTTGGAGTTCACTGAGCGTGTTTTAAATGTTAATTTAAACTCTTGACCTTTCTATAGAAATCCTTTAAGTAGGGGAATCGCCATTACTTTCCATCATGTTAGACACAAAAGTCATTGTGCGACCAGAGGGCACTCCCACTCCAAGGAGCTGCATTTGCTCCATGCTCTTCGCTACTGTCAGTCTGTTGTATACAGCCTCCACCACTTGCTACTGGAGGTGCTGCCTTGCTGTTCTTTCCCACAGCATGTCTTGCCTTGCTGGACTTCTGCCCCACTTCAATTCCTGCTTGCTAGAGCTTGTGCTTTTACGGCAGCAGGACTCCAGTCTCATGCCCTTTTTTTTTTCCCTATCTTCCCACCCCTTGCAGTGGGAGAATCACAATAAAAGTCTACAGCTGGAGGCACAGACGTACCAACGAATCCAGGAGAAAATCCAAGAAAGAGTTATGAACAACTTGGGAACATGGATAGACTGGCAATACCTACAAAATGCTGCAAAACTACTTGCAAAGGTGGGTAGTTGTGTCTTGTTTGGCACAGAGAAGAGAATACACACCAGAATGCTAAATTCACAACACCAAGTGAGGAAGGGAATTTAGGGGTTGTAGGTATGTGGGACAGTACCTCTGGGTCTAGGACATGAACTAGCCAAAAGTCATCTGGAAGTGACCTCTGTGAAGTTATACTTAACTGCACAAGTTCTTCCAAGGAAGGTGTAGGAAATTCCACCATGAAGTGTCCGGTCATGCTTGTCAGAAGGTAGCGTCTTTGCCTGTAGTGGTCACACAAATGTGACTGTGCTGACTTCCAAATCTGAGACTCTTTGTCCTTCTTTTCTCTCTCTTCCTCCCACTCCCCGACAGTGTCGTTACACCCTGCAGTACACATATCCATATGCCTACTACATGGAGTCTGGTCCCAGAAAGAAACTGGTAAGATCTTTTGCTCTTTTTTTTTTCCTGATAGCTTTTTGGGGTATAGTTGGCAGCATACTGGGCTGAATTCCAGAGCTTGGCAATGTCTGAAATATTAGTCCTGAGTTTGAGGTAAGCACAGGACAAATAATATGTGGGTTTGCACCTTTCCTTTTCACTTTGAGTTGACCAGCAGCTCAGTCCTCTGATACATTACATTATTTTCCCAGGGCACTTCACTGCACTTTCACTAACAAGCAATTTATGCAGAATGTTTTGAGGCTGGAAGTGTGCGTTTATTCCTTGGTAAGACTTACCACAGTGATGTGGGCCGTATTTCATGTGGAGAGCTGCTGGAGGATAGCCTTTCCAGCCTTGAATCAGGGTGCTTTTCTTTTTATTCCTGCTCTAAGTTCTTTCTTGGCTTGGTGCATCCTATGGGCTGGACATGTCCAAAAATATCCCTGAATTCACTGAAGAGGTTGTTTCTTTGACTCAGTTGTCCAGTAAAACCTGTTACTCGGTCTCTCCCCATAGCATCATATGTATTCTCTGAGGCTGTGGACAGATGTTCTCTTCCAGATCTGACTGTGTGAGTGGAACAAGTTACTGCTCCCAGCAATGGTTAACGATCCCTCTACTCTGCCTGCAGAGCTGCTCATGGGAGTATTTTGTGACCTGTTTATGGTAAAATGAGTTAGGAGTTACTTGTCACTTGCAGCGTTTTTAGGCTGACTGGGTTAATTTTGAGTGATGCAGGTTGGGGAGTGCTTACACTGGAAGTGCTCCTGGAAGGGGTGATGCTGTTAGCTGAAGGTGGATAAAGAGGAGGCACAAACCTGCTCTGCCAGCACAGCTGTCAGCAGAACACATTTGTCTGCTCCTCAAGTGTAGCATGTGGTATGAAACTGTTCCACTAAACTAGTTTCTTGTTGCTGTCTCTGATTTTGCTCTTTGCAGTTTGAGTACCAGCAGGCCCAGCTGGAAGCTGAAATTGAGAATCTCTCATGGAAGGTGGAGCGAGCAGACAGCTATGACAGAGGGGTGAGTGTTCTGCTTGCTTGAGCCTGCTGGCCAAATTTTGTCTGTTGGGGTTAACACTTCTGCAGGAGTGCTAAGGTAGTCAAGTGAGGGTTCTGAGAAACTAGATCCAGAAACTCACCTTCAGCCAGCAGATGTTGTAGGAGCAGAGTGCTCACTGCCTTAGGGGAGAGGAGGGAGGGCTGCAGTGAGTTCTGCAAACTGAAACAGGACCAGCAAAGCTCTGGAGGAAGCTGCATGTAGCCCTCTGGTGAAGAGCGTGTTCCTTAAGCGTGTAGCTTTTTAGACAGAGCAGGAGCCAGGTAACTGCAGAGGGAGCCCACGTCAAAAGGAAAATGATCTGTGCTCTTGTGATCCAGAGTGTGTGTGAAGGTTGGTGCTTCTCAGGCTGGAGCTTAGTCTCTCCCTAAAGAAAATGAGCTCTTCTCTAGGGAATTCCTGCTAACAGTTTCTACCTTCTGTTTTACCAGGACTTAGAGAATCAGATGCACATAGCAGAGCAGAGACGGAGGACCCTGCTGAAAGACTTCCATGACACATAAGACAGAGAGGGAGTGACAAAGTGCAGGGGTGAGAACAGCGAGTGAAGTGATGGCAACTTCACCAGGATAAGCAGGCACTGCCTCTGGAGAACACGGCCAAGGACAAAGCCACCCCTCCCCTTGCAAGTCAGACACATGCAAACACCACACATCTTAGTCCAGTTTGTTCTCTTTATCTTTCTGTTTCTGTTTCTGCCAGGCTAGAGGCCAGAGTTCAGATGGGCATATATTTCCTGGGACATTTCCCTCCTGCCCTTGATGGTTTCAGAAGGGGAGGGAGTTTTTCTCTGAATGGCTGTTAATAGTATTAGATCATTACAATTTATGTAATTTTCAACGGTTGTACAATTATACAGACAAACCTTAGAATAACACACAACCCTTTTTAAAAATAAATTGGCAGTGGAGTGTTTTTCCTTAATCTGCTTGTAAATTTAATGGGCTTTTCCCCCTCTCCCTTCCTCTGACCCAAAAATCCTCCTAGGCACTGAAGGAGGTTACAAAATATCTCGGCTAGATTTCCTGGTGCTCCTTTAACCAGGGCATTGTCGCATGGGCATTGCACGAGGAGAGTGGCTTTTTGCTGCTGCTGTGTCTGACCCGACACTACTGGCAGTGGCCGTGATTTAGTATGATTACATGTGACATCTCTTTTCTTGTAAATCAGCTGTGCAAAATCCTGCTACACAAACAAAAGCAAACAGAGGAATTATAGGGGAGAGACCAGGTTAATACAAGGGGATATGCCTTGAGTCAGGTCAGATACTGCATTTGATGAATTTTAGGTCTTCCATGTAGATTTTTGCTTTACTTGTTTTTGTGGGGAGGGTGTTGTATTGCCAAAGTGAGTGATGAGGGAATAGTAGCATACAGTTGTTAATCAAGGCTTGGGGCTTTTGCAGAGTGAAACAATCCATGTTATAACAGTGCCATGCAGCCTGATAAAGATTATTTGTGTGTGCTGGGTAACATGGCTGAGAAGATTTGATCCCATTTGTCAAGGTGAGAGTAAACACCACTACATTACGAGGAGGAAAGATTATGTACAACATGCTCCCTGGCACATGTCAGCAATGTGGACAGGCACTTGAATACAGGTGCAGTGCTTATGCAGAGCCTGCACCACGCCAGGCAGAAAATTAACTAGCCAAATGAATTTATTTGTATATTAGTATTGATACTGGTGGGGACTTATCAGAAAGTTGATTGTTAGGAGCATGTGGAGCTTTTTTATTAACATTCTTTTTTCTAATGTAAAATATACACTAAAATAAAAATATGAAAGCCTAGTTCATCTTAGTAGGGGTTAACATGAAAAAGGTTACTTAAATGTTAATGCTTGCCTCTTTGCTACAGGAAGCAGGCCACATGTTAAGATTGCACAGGCATGTATGTTATCTGCACGAGGAACATGTTGTTTGCAGCCAGTAAAGTGGAACTGGAGTCTCTGATCTGAGCAAATCTTCACCTCTGTGGGGAACTCATAGGATTCTCTTCCATGCTGTATGTGGAAGTGTTGCCTTTGGTGCATCCCTGTATTGCTCTTATATAACATTACTTGACAAAGATTAAACTGGAGTGGGGGAAAAGTGCTAAATTCCTGCATGTCAGAATAAGCTAACCACTGTTGGGGCCTTTTTCATGTACATGAGATACGTGAGCCAAGTATTTGCAGCACGTATAAATGGGCAGATGGATTTTTAACGAGAGATGCATCAGTTTAAAAGAGGAATAGCCATCATAGGAGCTAATCCTGTGGCCATGCTTGTTGTACACAGTGGAAATTTTCAAACTGAGGCCTTTTCTTTCTTCCCTCCCTTCCCTGGCGTGGGATGCATCCTCAGGGAATGGGGGAAACGTACTGCCGAGGAGCTGCTGGCAGTGGAGTGGGGGTTACAAACAGAAGTGGCTGAGGGTAGAACAGGGTTGCAGAGAGGTGACTGGAGCCAGAGAGTGGGGCAGGGAGGGAGCCCATGGTTTCTGGGAGTGGTACTGCTTGCTGCACAAGAGATCTCCATAACCATGGCTCCTTGTGTTCCTGCTCTGTACTGTTCTGGCTTTCCTCTAGGCTGGAGCAGTAGGGGTAGGTACATCCTCGCTCCAGCCACTATCTCCTGACTTCACTCCCTCCTCTGCTCCCAGCAGCAGCCTCTTTGTGTCCCCCTCATGATATAGTCTAGAGGTCTGTCTCTTCCTTCCTCTCCCCTTCCCAAATGATTGTCAAAGTCTGGGCCCTCTGGACCCAGGGGAAGGGATAGCGCGGGGGAAGGCTTGCTGAGACCCAGCAGTTTGCAGTGAGTAGAATCAGTGTTTAAACTGTTCTTTAAAAATGTAATGTGCAAAGTACTAATTAGGATAAAAGCTGGTGTTCTTGTTGTCTAAATATAACTAGCATCACACCTAATCTCTTTGCAGAACAGGTATGTGGAGTTTCCTAATCCCAAAGAGCTCTCACTTCTGTTACATAATTGTCCAGCTTTGAGCTAGATGAGAATGGGGTATTGTCTCTTTCTCCCTCCCTGCCTCCTCCCCTCCCTCCCTCTCCCATGCCCCCACAAAATGCTTTGCTATGAATCTTTGTTTGTAGCCGAGTTAGACCATATAGCTGTGGCCAAATTTACTGAACAGGCTGCTGAGATGCTTGGCTGAGGAACAGTAATACATATTGCACAGTGTACCCCCTAATTCTTTGAAATCTTCTGAAACTAGAGCTTTCTCAGCAGTTCTGTTTGTTTTAAATGAAAATAAAACACCCTTTCTGAAGATGGTGAAAGTCCTGGTTTGCATGCAGAGATCCTATTTCTATACTCTCTGGGAAAACAACAGGACAGACTTGCTTTTGCAGCCCAGGCAGGGTGACTCCTGTATTGCTGTCAGACAGAAAGTCATAGGCTACAAGACAAAACCTGCAGAGCACAGGGACTATTGGCTCTTGGTGTAAAGTGACTGATACTGTCTGAGAGGCAGGTGACAGGAAGGGAACAGGAGTTCTCAACGCCAAAAGACAAGGCCGGTTTTTTCCCTTCTAATAGGTCCATGGCCCAGTTGAAGTCAGCAAGGCTATGTGAATGTAGGTGAATAGAAAGTGGTTCACAAGCTGTTAATTCTGAGGTACAAGTTTCCTTTTGGTGCATTACTGCTACAGATCTGAAATGCTGGCCGTCTTTTTTTTTTTTTTCCCCTTTTTTTGCACTCATTTCCAGTTCCCGCACCAGCCTGACACCTCACCATCCTTGCATCCAATACTCTTATTTCAGCTTCGCTTGTGTTAGTGTATTGGCTGCCTCATCTCTCATAGTCCTCAGGCTTCCCAGACTGTAACAAAAAATTTTCTACTGATGACATAAACTGCATGACTGCTGCTCTGCGCACTGGCAGATGCGCTGTGCCTGCGCGGGGACAGGCAGCAGGAGGTTTCTGTACTATAGTCTTGCACTCTAAATTTTAGACTTTTTAAGCGGGTGAAAAATAGGACTTTATTTTTAAATGAGGCACGTGTTCTGGGAATTCCTTTCCTTGCCCCAGTCCGGTGCAGGCTGGGGGACAGTGTCGGCGGGCGCTACGGTGTGACCCCGACGC